AGATATATATATATATATATATATATATATATATATATATTTACAAACCATACATGGCTGGACTAGAGCTTCATGTTGGAACTTTGTGTGCTATGGCTATGCCATTACAGATTAAAAAAAATATAGTTTTTGTTGATCTCTGCAGTTGCCATGTCTAAAATGTTGTCTCACTGTCATTTGTTTATGTTGTGAATATGGATTGTTTGTTTATTAATCAGGCAGACTAGTTTACATGTAGGGCTTGCAGAGGTACCGTATTTCTCTGTAGACAACAAAAACAACATACCAATAAACGTTCCATATATTTTACCAACCACATTAAATATTGTGGACAACACATTTTCACTTGTCGCGGGTCTTCAGGGCACAGATCACTCATTAAAAAAACAGGCACTACTGTACTACCTAAACGCTTTTAAAAGATTTCCTCGACTCTGTAAGATCAACCTGGAGCTGCATGTCCTCTTGCGTCCACATCCTGGGAGGTTGGCTACAATCCCCAACACCTTATTTTTTTAATTAAATTAAAGCTGTAAGAGACTCTGTGGTCAGAGGATCATGAATTTGCTTTCAATAATTTAGCTTTAACATGTATATCTATAATCTAAACTTCTCAGATAGTTCTCTACTTCTTCTTTTTAAATATGGAATTGATTTATTCTTCTTTAACTGTTCATTCTTTCTCATTGTTCTTTTTTTATTTTATTCTTGACTTGGGTGTCCTTCATTCCTTTTGTAAGGATTATGATTATTGGCTTTACTGCAGTGGCATCACAGCTGGCTTCGCAATTCTGGCTCCTAGTCAAAATCCCAAACCTTGAAAGCTGTTTTCCAGCAAAGTGAGTTTAATTCATTTGAATTATTGTCAAAGTCTCCACTGACCCTTTTCACCACACCTATTGATTTGAGATAATTGGACCTTGTGAGCGATATGCACTTCTGACAAACATTGAGCAAAGCAGTTTGAATTTAGTTCGGTTTTATTTTGTCATAAATTGTTAGTCTCTGTTGGCTCCTTTACACACGGGAGGTCAGAAATCCAGCGACAGAACAGTCTCCATGGAGCTTTTCTTAGTGCTCAGATTTCATAAATAATGATCTATAGCGTGGCTTCATTTGCATTCAGTCTCAAAAGCTCGGAGCAATTACTGAATGAAGAGGACGTCTTTCAGACTGAGAGTCTATATGAAAATATCTTTGCCATGTTGAGATCTTTATGGAATACAGAATGTTGCGACTTGTGGACATCTGTTTTTATTGGGTGTTTACTGTGAGCCTAGAGTCCAGATGCTGTGTTGACCCTGCAACATCTGGATTCTGACTCCAAGCACATGAGAGATGGTAACCTTTAGCCTTGCAGTTAATATGCTGCAGTGATATACTGTTCCTGCAGATCTTAGTTTTACGTTGTTTTTTTTTTTTTTTGACTTTTTTGATTTTCATTTAACTATCTCCCTCACAACAAAGTCCATGCTCAATAATCCAGGTATACAATCCAATATTTTTCATTCAGGTATCTCCCTCACCTCCTCTATGCCCCTTTTCACTTAAATTTTTTTTCTCCTTATAATTATTTGTCCTACTCCTTTCTAGGGTGGTCCTAAGGTGTAAATGAACAACCATCCATACATCCATCCATTATCTTTTACTCGCTTCTTCTATTTTAGGTCACGGGGGTCACTGGTGCCCATGTCCAGCAATCATTGTGCGAGGGGCAGGGTACACCCTGGACAGGTCGCAAGTAAATGAACAACATTTGTAAAAGATGAATAACATTTAACAAAAAATAATTACATTTGAAAAAACACAACAAAAAAAAACACAACAGCATTTGAAATAAACAGAATTACTTTAGAAAAAACGGAAATTATACAATTTTTGAATGATTCCATTTTTTTTACGTAATTCCGTTCTTTCAACTGTGAGTCCGTATTTTCAAATGTATTCAGTTTTTTCTAATGTGATTTTGTTTTTTCAAATGTTGTGTTTTTTGTTATTTCTGTTGTATTTTTTAAATGTTTTTTTTTGTTTTTTCCTGTTGTGTTTTTTCAAATGTTGTTTTTTGTTGTTTCTGTTGTGTTTTTTCAAATGTTGTGTTTTTTGTAGTTTTTGTTGTGTTTTTTCAAATGCTGTGTTTTTTTCTAATGTAAATCTGTTTGTTCAAATGTTGTTTATTTACCCCTCAGGGCCACCGTACCTTTCTGATAGATACAGTAGTTTGTTTACACATTTGAACTTGTTGCTTTATTAGATTTTGCATTGCTTATTGCCGTCCTTATAGTCGGTACTTATCCATTTAAGCACCAAGGGCTAACATAATTACTGTATATCAGAATGCATGCGTGCTAATTTTGCTCGTATGTGTTCGTGGTTTGAATGTATTTGAGCGTGTCACAGCTGACCTGCCTGTCTGTCTGTCACAGGCCTGAGAGGTGGCATCTGGTACGCCATCTGACAGGGAGAGATAAAATATGTTGGGAGTGTGCACGTGTACACTGTCTGTGACTCAGTAGCATGCACATCACTGTATGTGAAAATGAACCCTGCAAGTTTTCAATGCATTTTAATGATTAAATCTATTGACCGGTGCTTCTACAGTCCATTATGTCTGTTCAGTTCAGCCCAGTTAGGACAAGCGTATTATAATTTTAAAAAGAGAGATTTAATTAAAAAATAAACTCCATGACCATAAAAATGTAGCCAAAGTTATTTTTGCTATAATTAAAACTAATTATTTATTTAAGCCTTGAGCCTTTTTATTAGGTTTTCTGTTGACATGGAATATATGTGTTATAGAAGGTCAGGCTGTTTCGTGTTTGTTTGGTTGTTTTCAGTCCCTACAGTTGAATTTTTCTGAAAAAGTTACCCAAGTGTCAGAGTTACTGAGATAAAGTTTACCTGTCGGAGAAAAAACAAGCTGTGCAGCAGAGGAGCGACTGACTGTTGTTCCTCTGAGCAAACTGAATAAATTACAATATATTAGATTAGTGGATTGTTCGTTTTCCTCTCTTGATTGGTTAAACTGGCATCACTGCGCTTCCTGGTGCGCACTTAAACTCAATCTGCTTTTGTCTTATATATTTTTTTTATAATAAAAGATGGTCCTGCAGCATAATTGAGTGTCAAGGTTGACAGCCGACTGAGTTTTCAGCCAGCGGTGACTTCTTACATATGATAAAGCAGACATTTTCTCTTTTTTTTTTTTTTTATACATATATATAAAATTGTCAACATAAATTAATGAGTTAATTTTTACTAAATCAATAATACTGTTACAGAGTGACTCAATAATAATATACCTTTTGTACTGTCTGTTGCTTTCTGCAGGTGTGCTTTGGAACCTGTCGTCCTGCGATGCACTGAAGATGCCAATCATCCAGGACGCCCTGGCAGTTCTCACCAACAGTGTCATCATCCCCCACTCCAACTGGGACTCATCTCCCAGTCATCACGATGACCGCAAGCTCCACCTTCATACGTCCCAGGTGCTGCGCAACGCTACAGGCTGTCTCAGGTGAACAACGCTAAAAACCACGCAACTCAAATGGTGCACATTGCAGGAAATTGTGGTATTTGTAAAGTTAAGCTCATCATGTACTGACTTGTAGACAAAACTTTTATTTAATTAAACATTTATAAATAACTCATAAAACACGATGGGATGGTTTTGTTAGTGTCATAAAGCTTTAATAGGTGTTCATTACAAATCAAACCGGTTGTTTACTTTCACTTGTGGTGAGAATTGGCTAAAGTGAATAAATGTCTTCGATAGTCTGTTACGACAACAAAACTATACTGAAGTGTCAGATCATCCATTTCATTAGTAAATAAACTCTTGAATCAACCACTTTTAAGAAAAAAAATATATTTGACTTGTTTGCATTTAGTTGAGGGTGCAGTGGTGGCGCCTTTGCAAAATATGAGTAGTCTGATTCTGGCAGATCCCGATCACCCACTCCATGGTGAGTTCAGCTTGCTTCCATCTGGATGTGGGTATCTGCTGCCCAGATGTAGGACGAACAGACTAAAAAACTCATTCACTCCTGCAGCGATCAGGCTTCTCAACGAACAATGATGATTTCTGTTCTGTTGTTTTAATTTCTCATTGTCTTATCTGGTATGGATGTTTTTGTGTGACTATGAAACTAATTGCCACTAGGCGATAATAAAGATTCTTGAACTTGAACTACGGCTAGCAAGCAGAAACTATCCCTATTCGGCATCAAATACTGTAAAGGTGGTCTTTTTAGATGTTTATCTCATCCTTGGAAAGATTTTCATGATTGCTTGAGCTGAAAGCTTTGTCAAAACATTCTATTTTTATGGTTCAGGATGCTCTGAGTTCTTGTTTTTGTCTAAGAAGAAAATTAACAGTAACACGGGAAATGGAATGGAAACAAGGCAGACTTCTGCTGTGCATCTGTAGGTTTATTGTTTTTTGTTGTCAGGGTTTCAGTTGTATTTATTTTCTCCACAACTCGCACAACTGTCCGTTGGATGTTTGTGTGTGTGTGGATGTGTGGGTGCCTAAAGAGGCGGGGGAAGATGGATGATGCTGTCATCGTACTGTTCAACACGACGTTATAGACAAAGTTTGAAAAGCTGGGGAAGGAGAGGGCAAAAAAAAAAAAAGTTAAAGTTGTGCTTGAAGGAGAAACGCGCACATACTGACGAATGTGTCTTTTGGCACTCCCCATCATTTTTTTTTTTCCATCTTTGTCTTTTTCTTAAGGGTTAAAGTGACACAGGATCACAATGTTCAGGTCTCTGTGTACCCCAGCTCAGTTTCAAACCTCTTACCTCTGTAATTATCTCCTTGCAGTTTGTGCATCATGTGAGAGTGTGTATACATTTTCTGTATAAATCTGTGTCTTTGGGTTTGAGCTTAGAAAGAATGCAAACGTGTCTAATTGTCTGAGTGTGCACACATGTCAAAACACACATTTGGTGTTAAAGCAAATCAGGTACAGAATGCACAGCTGGGATGTGGGAGTGTTGGTCGATGGGAAGGGAATGGTGTCAGAGCATCATCACCGTTAAGACGGTGCGCTGGTGTTTGTTCACTTATTGTCCACTTTGTCTAGATTTTTCATTGTGCGTGTTCTAAAATACAGACTGATCAGTTGATACAACATTTCACACACCTAGTAATAATTCATACACTAATGGATGTAACATGCTTGCGTTTGGGCTGTGGGGTTACCGTATTTTCCGCTTTACACATTGCACCATCCTATAAGTCGCATCAGTCCAAATATGTCTAATAAAATGGAAAAATTCATAAATATGTTGCATCTATTATGTGTCACGTTTGTTACGCGTCACCACTGACAACCCAGAATATGTGGGCCGAACCCGGAAACTTGGGCCGGTGTTGTGCCAAAAATCGAATGGCTGCCAAATGGTGGCCATGGGAGCATGTACGGAAGGACTTTAACAATAATTTAACAAGATTAACACTCAGACGGAGGAAATCAGGAAGGAGGAACGCTGCGCATTTCTTCAAAATTTAACAAGCACCTAAAAACAATTGTTTGCTCAACATTATAGTAAAGGTGTGTCCCAGTTTGAACTATTACTTAATAAATGCACTTTAATGATCAAATTAGCTGCATTTCGCTGGGGTGGCGCAGCGAAATGAAGCTGATTTGACGATTGCTCTAGGCGAGCTGGACGAAGGTGGCGGGCTATGGCAAGCTGATTGTGTCATTGGTGGCGCAGAGGTTAGAGAAGCTGGGCCTGTGATTGGAAGATCGCCGGTTCAAGCCCCGGTACAGACGACATCAAAAAAATGTGGGTGGGGTAGGTGAAGCACCAACACCTGCTCCCGCCCTCATTCGCCCCACTCTGGGCCAATGAGCAAGGCCCTTAACCCCCATCTGCTCCCTAAACAGGTCTCTCTTGAAAATGAGTTCTCATGACTCAATGAGACTACCTATATAAATAAAGACTAAATGGAAAAAAAAGCCATTTTTACCTATTACATGACACAAAGGCATGCCATACTCAAGTGCCATCTAGCAGCTGAAAATGGTAGTGTTCAATATTTTCAATGTCAGAATGAATTAAAACAGTCATATCTCAGCCAAAAATTGGTTTATAAATATGGGGAAATATCCATAAATACGTTGCTTTGGTGTATAAGTTGCAGTGCATGCACATCATGCATAAACCACAACTTATAGGCCGAAAAATACGGTGTCTGTAGAACACCCACACATGCAACAGAAGGGCTTCAGCTGGGAGTCGAACCGTCAGTCTTCTTGTTGCAAGACAATAGTGCTAACCAGCTGTGTTCTTTACATGCAGATGTGTTACATTTTATCCATCCATCAGTTTCTTTACCCACTTCTTCCTTTCCAGGATGCAGGGGTTGCTGTTGCCTATGTCCAGCAGTCACCGTGTGAGAGGCGTGGTGCACTCTGGACTGGTCTCCAGTCCATCACAGGGCCGCATAGAAACAACCATTTACACACCTAGGGACAATTTAGAGTTACCAATCATTCAAACGTGTGTTTTAGGTCTGTGGGAAGAAATTTATGCATGCATGGAAAGAACATACAGTACGTAATAAAATCCACCCAGAAAGGTGCCAGAGCTGGATTTAATCCGGCAACCTTCTGGCTGAGAGGTGAAAGCTCTACCAACTGTGCCACCCTTGTCACATAGTTATCTTATTAACGTCTGCTTATTCATAATTTTGCTATTGTGCCAAAGCTGCGCATTAAAAACAAGTCTTCAACTGAGCTGACTTCGTATAGGGGTACGTATATAATCGACTAACTTTAACTTAAGGATGTGCACTCCGAGACCTTTTGAACCAACTAGTCTGTCCTCTGCTAAAAGCTCGGTATGGTTTCAGGTTTTGGTGCAGCACTGTTAAGGCAAACATCCAGTAAGACGCTGTTTACCTCCCTGCAGGTGTTGGTTTGCTGCCAAGCCAGGGAAAACTTTCTGCCTGCCATTTATTTGTGCATACTGTTTAAATATATATGTATACTTGTTCATGATCCTACACACAAAGTTTCTCAGCTTGTTTTTCCTTTTTACAATTCCACACACGTGCTCATGAAGTCGTACATTTCCATATATATCATGATAAAAACTTTGGTTTGGAACACGTTTTTCGATTAATAGGATTAAAGCATAAATTTGAATGTAATCTGGTGATGAACTTCTGCCACCTGTGCCCATGCACGTAGACACGCACACGGTCCAACAGTTGTGCAGCTCCAGCACACGCCAGATGTTTGAAACTGTCAGCAAGTCATTTGTTCTTGGAGCAACGCTGTCTGAGAGCCATCTGCCTGAAATCTATTTAGGACCACTTTTTTTTTTTTTCTTTCTGTTGGATGCTGGAAAAAGCAAATTTAAAATTAAATTTATAGAAAATAATTACGTTGAATTATGCATCAAACTGACTCTGCTTATTTTCTGAGATAGCTGCACCCTGGGAAAAATGTGACCTATTTTCTTTTAAACTGCAATTTGAAGGGGAAAAACGTGATCTGCTGTTTAAAACCCATTCTCTGCACAGGAAACCCATTTATCCCACTAATTTTCTCACTTGTGTGTGAATACAGTTTTCCTTCAGAAAACATCAATGTGTTATGGAGCTTGTTTTGTATATCTTGTAACATAATTATTTGTCATTATAGAGCTGACCATGGCAGATTGGTTAAAAGCTGAGTGCTGGTCTTTAATGATTTTTGCCGCGCAGCACCTTTTTATATTTGTTCAGTGATATTCTTGTTTTTGAAGTGATGTTCTGACATGATTTCTCTCATGCGCGGTGCTCTGTGACTTATGTCACTATTAATAACTATCTGACATCACTTCCAAATTGACAGGCCTATAATTTAGGTTGAAGTTGGTACAATGCAACACACTTGTGACTTTTTAAATTGATCAGTTTCTTCCCATTTAGTAAATTTTAAAAAATTCTAAATTACAATTTATTTGGTACTCTTACAAAAAACATTGACTAATTAGCCCTGATTGCAATTTTTTAAGTCAAACTGAGAAATCATTGGCTTTTTTGTTAACTTCAGCTAAAATAGTAACTCCTAAAATTAGAAATGTGTGCTTAATCAAACTCTGTGCCTTTTTACTCACCACAGAAGTATTTATCTGTGCAGCTTTAACTGATAGGCAGAATTAATGGGGAGTGACATTAGATAGGAAGAGGTGCGAGCGTGTAATGAACTCAATAAATACTAGGGATTGAAAACATTCACAAATACCACCATGCACAGACTCATACTTTTGCACAAGCTTATGCAAAATAACTTTTAATATTCTTATATTTTTTTATTATCTGTATTTTATTATTAGGCAATGTGCTCACAATATGCTTGAAATGATTACCTCTGTAAATAATTGTCATCTTTATTTTTTTTTATCATATCAGATGTGTGTTTTCCTCTGCATATAAAATTCTAACTGTACTTTGGATCAGTTGCACCTCAGCGCTCCAGAGCTGCTGCTTTTTAAAAACAATCGTGTACGCTTTCC